GAGTGTCTAAACGGCTTTAGTATGCTGGCGGACAACAGAACGTGTCAAGGTGAGTGTCTAAACGGCTTTAGTATGCTGGCGGACAACAGAACGCGTCAAGGTGAGTGTCTAAACGGCTTTAGTATGCTGGCGGACAACAGAACGTGTCAAGGTGAGTGAATTATGATGGCGATTTATTTAGAAATGTATAACAAATAACATGTCACCGGCATAATGCTTATTATTGGATCTTCTGGTATAAAACAGTAATAAATTATTTAAGAAATGTACCCCTTTACATCGTGGACGCCTCTGGTGCTAAAGCTTTTGTGTCTGCACTTGGCTGTTTCTAATATTATTTGATGTTATTTCATATTCCCTTTAAAATACAAATTTATATATCGTTAAAACTCACTTCCACAATACCAAATGGCCATGAGAATAAGGCCTATTATCATAATCTAATTATTATTATTATTATTATTATTATTATTATTATTATTATTATTAAAATATTAATATGCACCATGCTTATATTTCAGACAACAACGAATGTGCTGATGACAACGGTGGTTGTTACCACGCATGCGTGAACACTCCCGGAAGTTACTACTGTGTGTGTCTCCCAGGGTTCACCATGCTTAGTGACGGCAGAGAGTGCAAGGGTATGCCTCTCTGATGGCTGTCGTCCTATTGAATTGATGCATCTGTTTATCTGTCAATATTCACAAGATTCACAATATTTACAAGAATTATTTTCTTCATTTTAATTATAGCAGTTCATCTATTAATATTTATTTATTTATTTATTTATTTATTTATTTATTTATTTATTTATTCACATTTTGAAAATAATTTAAAGTAACTGAAAGTAAAAAAAATGGTTGTTAGTAAGATAAGTTTCACACTAAGAAAAGATTCCAAGCATGTTTTTACATTGCATTAGCAATGCCTGTTTCATATCAGTGTCAACATAACTAATATCTTAGATAAACACTTACCTTGAATTTGTCTTGAAGTCTGGAACAGGATGAAAAGTTTGGTCTAGAGGTTCAAAACATCTTTCGAGCTGACGCTTTTTTATTTTTTATTTTTATTTATTTATTTATTTATTTATTTATTTATTTATTTTGTGAAAGCGCCCCGGTAATTTCAATGTTTTTGTATTAACTAATGTATTTAATGATAACTTCATGATCTTCAGATAACGACGAATGTGCAGTTAATAACGGTGGTTGCGAACAAATATGTATCAACGACCCGGGCTCGTATCAGTGTGCGTGCACTCATGGGTTTGCACTCCTGGCGGACGGCAAGACGTGCAATAAGACAAGTAAATAAAGATTTTACTGATTGATAATTTTAATTACTGAGATTATACATGTACAGGGGGTAGCTAACCTTTTTCTACAATCTTCTGCTATAATATATAAGGCACGTAAAACAAGTTGTCGGCACAGCTGCAAGATATTTTAGAAGCCTTGGATAATAATTAGGGAGGGTTTTGTAACACGAGGCACATGACCCTTTTACCAGTGTCACGTGACAGTGAGCCTTGTTCCCAATAATTTCCACAGGTTATTGAACCTCGTTCTAGAATTCTATTTACTTACAGTACGTCAGGCTAACCCTAACCTATATTATTAAATGGAGGGTGGGCTCTCTATTACACAGACCCTAAGATTCGTCAGCCCTGTCTTTTAGAACAAAATCAATCAAACGACGTCAATGTGCATACTGACGGCCAGGTCTTAGAATAGACCAGTTTATAATTATAATTTCAGCATTTGACGAATGTGAGGCTGGGTTTCACATGTGTCAGCAGAACTGTATCGATACATTTGATTCCTACATCTGCACATGCGTGACAGGCTTCACTCTGCATCCCAATGGCCTAAACTGCTCAGGTAATTATATTATATTATATTATATTATATTATATTATATTATATTATAAAACAATGCCCATTTGCCGCATTTTTCGTAATTTAAAATGAAAGAAAATTAACACATTTTTCGAAATCAAAATTCTCAACGGATCTTGAACATTATATTTCAATAAGTAAATAAATACATCTCTTTTCTTGTCTTTTCTCCAAATAACTCTACACATTACACACACATTTCAGATGTTGATGAATGCGAGCTAAACCAAGATGGCTGCGACCATAACTGTACCAACACGTACGGTTCTTACGAGTGCAGCTGTGCCGTGGGGTATAGACTTACCGGGGATAACATGACATGTGAAGGTAACGGGCTGTCTTCATAATATAAGGAACTCCCCGGCGTCCCATAGGGGGTCAATTAAATATATATACGTGTGTTATTATTGCTAAGGTAGTGTCTTTTATGCTTCTTATTATTACACTATATTAGTAATATTAATACCCACGGTGCCACATTTCATAATGATGCGTATACTCCAATTAGTCAGAGTGCATATAATGTGTGGGAATGGGTGGTTTTTAGGAGGAGTTCAGACCATAGAGAAAATGGAGGGCGTTTTGAAAATTAACACAACTTTTATTATCTTTATTGAGCACTAAAATGTGAACAGGTTACGATTTACAGGCTCTCTACTCTAATCATAACATGTTTATAACAACTATGCAAAGCTATACAAAATACATTTTGTATTTTGACCGTGCACTAATCTTGCCAGACGAAAATGAATCCAATGTTTGATAATCAGGACGAAAAACAAATGCGTTAGAACATATTCATATACCAGTGACTAAACCATAAAAGCAACTATAAACAAGTCCAGTTAAACTCCTTTCCATTTTTGTAAAACTCGCCCTATTCCACTTTACTTCGTGATTTCAGATATAAACGAGTGTCTCACTGACAATGGTGGTTGTGAGCAGGAATGTGTCAACGTTCCCGGGTCAAGAAAGTGTCACTGTCGCCATGGTTACGTCATCAGTCTTCTAGATGACACCAAGTGTAGTGGTATGGCTTCTAGAATATTTCTATATTCAGTTTATTAATTAATTATTTTATTGGAATAGCACAAAGAACCATATAAATGTACATGTTTTCAACCGTGTTAATTTTCATACATACATATTCTATGTACAGAGTTATTTATCCTTTTCTTGCCTTCCTTTTGCTTGTTCGTACTCTTATTTTATTTACTTTTTGATGAATTTCAGGATGTATGGAACGCGTTTATTCTTGAACATCTCACTTCGACTTTAAAAATTAACTTCTTTGAACAGTTTATTTAACGAGGCTCAATTTTAAAGGAACGTTAAACGTTTTAAAAAGTTTGAAAATACGCCTATGCATTTATTTATTTATTTATTTATTTATTTATTTATTTATTACAGATGTGAATGAGTGCGCTGTAAACAAAGGCGGTTGCCACCATTTCTGTACTAATACCATCGGCTCGTTCCAGTGTAGCTGCTTGGTTGGCTTTCGGCTTAAAGAAGGCGGTCTCCAGTGTGAAGGTATTCAGTGATAGGAAATAAGAGAAACGCGAGTTAGATGCACTCAGACACAGATTTGAACAGTGTTGAGTAAAGTATTGCTGCGATACTTAAATGTTAATTAATGACAACTGTGCGCGTTGTATGACGTTATTTTTCAGCGAATCTCGTTATTTGCGGGCGAAAATATCCTTATTTACTGATAATAAAATACTAAAGGGCATTGACAGACAATAATGCTGTGTGTCAAATATGGGTGAAGGTGAAGTGCTTTTGAAAAATAAAATCGTGCAATTAAGAAAATTGTAAAAAGCAAATCTGCACAAGAGCGAATACAGAAGTTTTTTTTTTCTTTTTTAGATGTGAATGAGTGTCTCTCTGATAATGGCGGGTGTGAACACAAGTGTACCAATACCCAGGGCAGTTTTTACTGCTACTGTGACAATGGGTACAAACTGTCCTCCGATAACAAGACATGCTTTGGTAAGTTCCATCGTACCGTATGGGCCATGATATCTCAAAAGTAGCCACAGATAAAATCAAACAAAACAACTTTTACAATCACAATGATATCTCTTTCAAAGGAATAGTGCATGAATTTATTTATTTATTTATTCATTTATTTATTGTTTGTTTGTTTGTTTGTTTAAACATATATTTATTTTGTAATTTGTAACAAAACAATTTTCACAATCAATTTTACATCTCTAAATGAGGAACAGTACATAAATTGATAATATTTTTTATTTGTTCATCTATTTATTTATTTATTTATTTATCTATTTATTTATTTATTTATTTATTTATTTATTTATTTGTAGACATTGACGAGTGTGCCCTGAAGCAACACCACTGTCAACAAATCTGTTCTAACACCCAGGGGTCGTACGAGTGCTCTTGTAACCATGGTTACACGCTGTTAGTGGACGGTAGAAGTTGTGGTAAGTGCTTATGTTCTCGTAATCGTGATGTCAAGAATTTTAAATAAAAAAACTTACCTATACTGAGTGACTCCTTTGTCGCCATTCTGATATTTTCAAATGTGTTGACATTTTTTCCCGAAAGTAATTAAAGCGCCATATTAACAGGTCTCCGTTAAAACAGACGCCATATCGTGACTTAAATTCGTATGTTTTGTCTCTGTGAACATTAAAAATGTTAGAAATGTGCTCTTATAATTTCCCAAAAAATTCCCCTTACTTAGTTCTAATTTTCTTGCAACAATTTCAGTTAAAATAAGTATTTTCTGTATTAACAATTATTATTATTATTATTATTATTATTATTATTATTATTATTATTATTATTCATAAATGTTTATATATCTCCAGATGAGAACGAGTGTCTGACTGGGAGACACAACTGTAACCAGCTGTGTTACGACACCCCGGGCTCCTACACATGTGACTGTAATGATGGATATACGCTGTTAGCTGACGGCAGAACATGTACAGGTGTGTGTGTGTGTGTGTGTGTGTGTGTGTGTGTGTGTGTGTGTGTATTTGAGAGAGAGAGAGAGAGAGAGAGAGAGAGAGAGTGTGTTTGTGTGCGTGTGCGTGTGCGTGTGTTTGTCTGTGAGAGAGAAGTACCTTATTTCCCCATGAGTACTTTAATACGTGCTAATGTAAGCTGTTTCTATCTTTCGTTATGCACGTTTTTAATCTTATGTTTTAATTAAGTAAACCACCAATCCTTATTATTTATCACTAACGCCGTCTACCATTGTATTGCAGACATGAACGAGTGCACTACGATGGCTCACACGTGTCAACAGGTGTGTATGAACACCATTGGTTCCTATCAATGTGCCTGCAGACCCGGATATAAGCTGAACCCAGACCTCAGGACTTGCAGAGGTGACTTTTTTATTTAATCTTTAATTTGATGTATTTTAGTCTTAGTCTTATGTCAACACAAACCACTAAAATACGAAGGGGAGCGAAGACCTCCGCCCCGAAAAATTATCAACTTATAATCTCTTATAATTTAATAGATCATCACCAAAAACTAATCACTTTTAAGTTTGTCTATTTGTAACCTATCCTGATATTATCTTCAAAATCTGCCCATAAATTTCCCTATAATGTCGCAAACAGACAGACAAATTCACAAATAAACTAACGGAAACTTGGCGGAGGTTAAAAAATTAGAAATAGGCGCATACAAATAACACAGAGGTTCGTTTTTTTTATTATTATTTCTATTATTTTATTGTTTTATTTAACGTGAAAATGTATAGACAATATGATAAACGAATAAAACCTGACAACAAAGTTTGAGAAATCCGCCCAGGCATTTAACCCCAGCTTTAATTAGATTTTTTTTAACTGTGTGCTACAGATATCGATGAATGTTTGGCCCGTGCTCACGGCTTTATTGAACTGTATGTTACAGATATCGATGAATGTATAGCCCGTACCCATGGTTGTAGCTGGGAGTTTGGTTGTTTTAACACAGAGGGGTCGTACAGGTGTAACTGTCCCCTGGGGTACCAGCTGAACGCTGACGGATACACCTGTAGAGGTAAGGTGTTAAATAATGTATATAATATATAATAGTCAAAAAAAATTACCATGTGCATTCTATTTTTTATTTCAGTTTTAATTTGATGTACATTTATATAATGAATAATGTGTAATAATCAAATATTTTATTTGTGCATTCCATTCATTATTTCTTCGTTTGTTTTTATCTTTTGACAAACAGTTATATGTGCAATTATTATTATTATTATTATTATTATTATTATTATTATTATTATTATCCAGACATTGATGAATGTGCCAGCAGGACAGCAGAGTGTGAGCAGGATTGTAATAACGTAGAGGGCTCCTATATCTGCTCCTGCTTCCTTGGTTACAAACTAGACCCTGATGGCAGGGCGTGTAACGGTACGGCATGTGTTAACTTTGATATTGATAGTTTATCTAATCTTACAACCAAGACATCGAAGCTCTGCAGCCATAATGTGAAAACAAAGAAAATGGAAAGATTTATATTATTATAGTCAATTATAATTAACGTAAGTAAAGTTACCTGCTCGTAGACAGCAATTTAAAAAAGGGGGTTCATTTTTCTGAAAAAGTGAACCTTCCGCAATGAAACTTTCGTGTAACTAGATAAATTTTCACCCAGAGGGGACCTTTTCCAGGCAAAAAAGGGCGGTTCTTTTGAGCCTCCCCCACCCCGCTACTGGCCCGAGTTATATGCATAATAAAAACAATTGGCTTTGAAAGTATGCATTACACCGATAATCTTAAAGGCAATTTTTTGAAAGACAGTATGAAATAAATGACTTATATTGTTCAAAAATTCAAATAAATACCTCATAACAATTAGGATCTGTCACATGTTAATATTTTCTAGATATTGACGAATGTGCGTTAGGCAAGGATAACTGTGCCCATGACTGCTTCAACCACGCTGGATCCTACTCCTGCGGATGTCACATGGGCTTCCAGCTAATGGAGGACGGGTTTTCATGTCAGGGTGAGACATCAATAGAAACAGTTAGGAGCTTTCGTGTGTCTATTTCTGCTTTTCAATTCATATTAAGAAGAAGTCTCAGTTATATTTTTTAAATGGTATTTTATCTGTGCCTGACGTCATTATGTAAGAGCTTGTTGTGACAGCGTTATTTCTCTCCATGGGGACAATTATTTAGGTATAATACAGTTTCACATGTGATTCTTATCAAGTGTTGGCATCACTTGTATTGAGACTATTGCGACGAAAAAAAAGATTACTGTTAAATTATTTATTCAGTGTTTTTAATTCAGTTAAACTGAATATTTTATTATCTTTATTTACTGATACATGTGTTTCATTATTGTTTATTTGTTGATTTTATATGATTATTATTCTATAAGATGTGAACGAATGTGCCCGCGGGTCACACGACTGTCAGCAGCTATGTGAGAACACCGTGGGGTCTTTCCAGTGCAGCTGCTCTTCTGGATTTCAACTCGCGGCAGACAAAAAAAATTGCACAGGTATCTCCTCCTCTCCCAGCCTTCCTCTCCCCCCCCCTCTCTCTCTCTCTCTCTCTCTCATACACACACAAGCGCGCGCTTGGAATACAAATTAAGTAAACTATTTAAATTTAGTTTTACATTTGTAAAAGATTTGTGTATGTAAAAGTGTAAAAGTGCTCCAAACCCAATCAATTTTTTATCTTATTTTTTTATTCTGAATTCTTATGTAGCGAAAATTTCCAAACCCCGCTCTACGTTTCGTATCCAAGCGTTATAACCTTCATGGTTATGTAATCCTAGTTTTTTTTTCTTCTCAAGATATCAACGAGTGTACCAAGGGCACTCATAACTGTTCCCAGGTATGTAACAACCAGCCGGGAGGGTATTTCTGTAGTTGTTACACCGGCTACCAGCTCCAGGCAGACGGACTGGCTTGTTTCGGTGAGTTCTCCAGCTTTCACGCGTGATCATGAGAGCTGTTGTTGTTGTTTTTGTTGTTGTTCTTATTATTATTATTATCTTTCTTCTTCTTATGATTATTATTATTATTATGTGCTTAAAAGTCTATCAGAATATTTTGTGCTGATGTCAGCAAAGAAGGGTCTGGGTTACTGACTGAAATATGAATGCTTTCATTAGCAAATTACATGGTACACAATATTTTATGTATGTGTCAGTTTAGACTATGCTTTTCAATACTTCCATTCCTGTTGAAAATATATTAGTAGTTACGGTTTTATAATTTTGGTTCTTGTTTGTTTGCAACGTTGAGGTGGCAGCACAGGCGCCAGTTTTGCACATTATTGTATAAACATTTGAAACTTTTTCCGCAGATTTTAATGAGTGTACTACGGGGACTCACCAGTGTTCCCAGGACTGTACAAACACCCCGGGGTCCTACATCTGTAGCTGTAAGCCGGGATTTCTACTGCAGCCAGATAAACTGACCTGTAGAGGTAAAATATTGAGATTTGATTAGAGGTAAAATGTTGGAATTTGTCGAGGTGAAACATCGAAATTTGAAGTGGGAAAGTACTGTAATTTGTAGAGCAATTATAATTTTTCTCTGTATTTTTGCATACACGATTATGAGAAAAACGTAGCATTAGTTGTTCTCTTCTTCAGATATTAACGAGTGTGAGACGCTGAACGGCGGCTGTTCGACCTACTGTACTAATATCGCGGGTTCCTTTTACTGCTCGTGTGGAGTGGGGTACCGCCTGGACTACGACGAGAGGACGTGCGTTAAAGACGGTAATAATAATAATAATATCATCAGTGATGATATTAATAATAAAAAGTCGTTTAACTCCCTTTGGTTTCAAGAAATTTGACTTAGGCCTACTTTTCAGAAGGTAAACACCATCGTGACGTCACTTTTGACATTCTGTTGACGTCACATCATATCACGTGCCTCTTGGGATATTTAACCCCCCATCGTTTGAAAAAGCCAACCTCCACCGCAGTTATTAATTTCTCCTTACAGAGGCTGCCAAATGCTACCACCCGTACGGTATCTTCCCCCACCACAGCGACTGCAGGAAGTTTATCGTGTGTGTGATGGGAGAAGTGATCTCCGTCCAGCCGTGTCCAGACGACCAGGCTTGGGACCTAGAGGCTGGACACTGCATCAACGAGACCCTGGCCAACTGCTCCAGGATTGTACCGCCCACCAGTGAGTTTTTTTACGTATTAGTTCGTGTATTTATAATAATAATAATAATAATAATTACCAATATGTGTCAATGATCACAGAGGAGTCATAACACTCTGATTTGAAAGTTTATCTAGGATTGTTTAAAGATAGAATAACTGCCCAAATTTAACAATATTTGCACGCTTGATGATTTTCATTCGACACCTTATGCCACTAAATCATTGATCGTTATGTTCAGTTTGCTTCTTTATACACGTGATTTGTGCGTAGAAATAATGAGCGTAGCCTGCTCTATTTCCTGTTTAATCTCAATGTTAACAATTCAAACACGTATCCAGCAAGCACGCAACGCCATACTGACATCATTTCGACGTCACAACATAGGCATGTCATCATCATGACGTAATAAGAATGTTTTGCTTACGTTCAATTCCAGAACCCCCTATTTGCGAGGAGGGAGTGTACGCGGACATGGACAACTGTGGCGGGTTTGTGGTCTGTAGCCAAAACACGCTGTTTAACTTCGTCTGTCCTGCAGGACTGCTCTTTAATAATGATACCAAGGAGTGCGAGAAAGCAGAAGACGTCGACTGCGGTGGAAGAGCGAAGTTTGGTGAGAATTTTATGTTATTTATTATTATTATTACTTCCGACAAGTCATTTTTGTTTGTTTATTATTATTATTATTATTGGTTAAAATGCAGCTCACGAAGTTTGATTTCATAGTACTTTCGGTGTTACTTTGTCATGCTCGACCAGCGCAAGTGTGCACGTTTTCTTATATGTAACTCTAAGGATTTATACCCATTGCTTTTCTTATTGATAATGATATGTTAATCAATATACCTATTTGTCTGAAGAAGTGTGGTATTAGCAACTTTGACTGAGAACCTTTCATAAAACGATTGCAAATGCATGGCTCTTTTTTCATTAACAAACACTTTTAGCATTTGCATTCTGAAAAAAAAAAAAAAACAGAAAAAAACACGTGAAACATTAACCTTACGACTGATCTTGTCTTCCAGCTGACCCCCTCTGCGACCATCCCAATGGCAACTTTGAGGAGCCAACTAACTGTGCAGAGTTCTTATCGTGTGAAAATTACCTCATCTACAGACATAGAACGTGCCCCAATGGCCTGCTGTATTCCGAGGCCAGAGATCGCTGTGACTGGTCGTCTAATGTGGCATGCGGGGGAAGACCGTCATCTCCGCCTTAGGGAACTGACCTTAGCTTTAATTTTAAAAAACACCATTTTTTGGTGATATTTGTTCCAAATGTAAGAAATGCTGTAAATATTATAATTCTTAAAACGGAAGCCGTGGTTTATATTAAAGGACATGCTAAAATCAAGTGGATAGAAGATACTTCTAAAATGTATGTAGCAATGTATGTGTCTCTTTTGGGGGCCACATGTATTTAAATAAAAGGGGCAGATTTATCAGTTATTTTGTAACTAATTACTTGTTTCCTCTTTCCAGTATTTTTTAATTGTTTTTTCTTTGTTGTTCAGAGAGAAAACAACTGTTCGCACGAGATTCATATTTCACACTGTAAACAACACACTGGAATATAATCATTTCTATTTTACCGCCAAAACGACGGTTATCGCAATTATTATGTGCTTGCAGTCAGACCACGTAGACCTTCGTAGATGTCTATTCCGTCATAACCTCTAAAGAAAAAAACATAAACTTTGAATGTCGGAATGGATTCATTAAACATTGGTAAGTTTAGGAAAATCGTCGTTTAACCCAGGAAAATCTGTTTTATATTAATTAATTAATTTATTATTATTATTTTTTTATTTATTATCATTATTATTTATTTATTTATTTATTTATTTTTTTTTTTTTTTGCCAAAGCGAACAGTTGTTATCCCTTCAAGAGAAACTTAAAGTTTTGCTGTATAACGGCCCTAGGCGAATAACGTCCGTAAGTTACCAAACCAACGCCCACTCGCACTACTACTGCACAGGTGGCACAAGTGAGACAGCAATAATACTAACTATGGGGCTTATGTAATATGTCCATTTGTATGCTGCTAAGCGGAACTGTCCCGACTGAATTACCATAGAAACGTCCGGAAATTGCTTCTCAACGTCCCGATAAGTTCTGGCAGAATTATTTAAAGTACAATGTATGTGTCATTGAGTGAAAAAGTGTAGTGTACCATATCTAAAACGGTCTCTTACGATTCTTGTATTATGAAAGACGGTGCGATGTGTTTGAAAGTACTTTGAAATACTTAACGCGATTCCTTTCGCTAAGATGTAAATATCTCCCATATTTGACTTAACTCTCGAGAGATAGTCAAGTAACTCTACAGAGATTTCAAGAAATCTTGCTAATTAACGGCATGGAGTCGCATGCTGTACACACATGCCTTTCACATGAAGACAAAAATGATAACTCACTGACTACAGTAGGCCACTTGAATCGCTTTTTATAAAAGCGGGCAATATTTTAGCTCAACAGTTTCTATATTTAAATGCCTTTATCCAGAATTGAAGCAGAGCATGACTTTTAAATCTAAAACCTCTGATATCTGGTCAGCGTAACAAGCCATGAAAAACATAACCAATAAATAACCGCTTAATTGCAATCAAACCGACTGCTTTATTTCGGGGTTCTGCTAAAACCGCTACTGAATGCGGTCACAGATAAAATACGAAACCCCCACTAATTGACTTCGACGGGTAATCGCAATTAAATCGAGTACTTCCTCCAGGGATGAAGCTAATACCGTTTTCATCAAAATAGCGCAGGGTGTGGCAAGAGACAGAATTACGTATCATTCTCTTTCTAATCTCCGGCACCAACAGAGTCTCTATATGACTCAGTTTGTTCACCTAATTGCATGTCCATGGTTTTAACGTTCGGAATTAATCAACACAGCAGCAAGGGGGATATCAAACCGGGAGTTGATCACATATTTCAGTGAATAATCTACCTTACACGTATTAACCTGATTCCCCTAATGAGGTAAAACAAGATATAAATAAAATCACCCGTATGAATTGTATCCATTCTGGCGCAATCCACTTAATGATCGGTGAATGAGTATAAATTATTCATACATCATTTTACAAAACATGCTCATTCATTAAGAAGATGAAAAACATTCTCAACATCATCTGGTTGATCCTATTCCTTAACGATTTCTAGTCCCACGTGTGCCCTACCTCAAATATCTAAACGTAAGCACCGGCCTGTGGCCAGCAATTTTTTTTTTTTTTTTTTGGAAAAACTGTACCTTTTACCTTTAAACTTTCACGTACCTATATAAAATTCTACCCAGACAGAACGGTTTCCCAGCAAAAAGGAGGGTTCTTTCGAACCCCCCGAACCTCCCTGGCCAGAAAGTTGTTTATTATAATGAATCACAGCTAATTGGTTTGCTTCAAAAAACAGCCTGGGGTATTTGGGTATGTTTCTCTAGATAAATAATGTAATGATCACTTCCTGTAGAAAACAGAAATAGATTTGAGAACGCATACAGATTTTCACTTATTATACGCTGCGTACAGGGTTCTTTCTTATTGTTGTTTCTACGTTCTATTATTTCTGTTGTAACAGCTTAAAAAAGACTAAAGTATGGCTTAATTTTTGATACTGGTCCAAGAGCTAGTTTACAGGCAAAGAATACACTCCAATATCCACATAATACTGTACTTTAATAAATTCTGTTGCCGACCTTGTGAGATTCCATAACTCAATTAGATCATTACCCCACAACTAACCGCGAAAGTTACATCATACGTTGGTTGCTATGGGAACCTTGATTGGGTCTTCAAGTCCTGTAATGTTGTATATATGGTCAGGCAAAGCCTCGCAAGCAGATGCCCGAGTGATAGGAACACAGGCAATAAGGCAATCTTGCCGGTTAAATTTCCAAACTGCAAGTACATTGTTTCACTCTCGCCACAAAATCAATCTTGGTTTTCGGAACATGCCATTGCTTTCGGTTGCCAGATAACGTTGACATTAGCTCACTCCCAGAGAGACTATTGCCTGACAATGAGACAATGATACTGGAAGATTGAATTTAGGAGGTAATATGGCAGTTTCCATGTGCTGGCGAACGTCTGGACTAGGTTATGTAGTTGATCAGTTCGCAAAAATTATTAAACAGTTCTCTAGATAAACCATAAAATATCCTTTCCGGTGATCTATCTATTACATTATACCGAGGCTGGCGTTTCAAACAATAGGATAATTGCACATTTAGTTCTCATACAGGCTAGCCTGTATTTTCGGTGCGTTTATCCTGTTGTTCGAAGCGCCAACAGTGGTATAAGTCAGTTACAATTGCGCCTCGATATAATTACGCTCTTGTATGCCGCATATAGTGGACGACTCGTGTTATAACTGGTACGTTATTTTGTCCTCATTTATTATTGTATATATCTATCCTTTCGCCCCCTCCCTTAGTCAAACTTTGTCTGTGTCACAGGTGACTACAGTGGTATTATCAACACACACTGAAAAAATGTTAATAATTTACTACAAAACAAAAATATTAGAAAATACATCAATTGCCCAACAAACGTAAACTCAATCAACAATTTCTGGATTTGATTAAAAAATGAGTGCAAATCACCACGATTGTTTGGGTGTTATATTATCGAATGCAAAGTTATTGCAATTATGTTGTTTCTATCTTCAATCGTTTGAAATTTCAGCTACATTATTTTTTGAATATGTAACAATGTATGAAACATTTGAACAATAAAAAGATTTTACACAACGCTGACTAGATCGAATTATCACGTTTAAAAAAAAAAAACATGTTACAAAGTAGACAAGCTTTCCTGACAAATTAATCCAAAATTTGTGTCTACATGTAGTTTTCCTAAAAAATACAAAAATGCCAATTTTCCCACGTATTCCCATGCATTGTAAACTTAAATGATCTAAGTCAAAGTTTTATGCTAACGTCTTTGATAAACCGTTCATTGTTCCATTGCTTTAGATTCCGCTGTTTACAATGCTACACGCCACACAACATTGAAGAATTCAAATGGTGATAACATCAAACTGTATGTAAATGTAGAAAAAGTCCTCGTAAGGGAAGTTTGTCCACCTGCATAGATGAAAAAACAGGCCATTCCAACGTTGTAATTGAATTAAGAAATATAACAAGGTCTTTAGTCAAAATTATTTATCATAGCCTGGTTTTAATGACGTATCTCCTGAAATCGTTTCTTGTCCAAACGAAACACATTTTACACTAAGATAACAACCATAAATAATGTTGTAATATATCATTACACATTCTAAGGAATCGGTGTGATGGAATAAAGCGTCATATCTGTGCTATCGTTTTCTTGACCGTCACTGGACGGTGATGGCCGGCTAGGCGACGTCTGCCTCGACTTGGTCACGGGAGGAGACGTAGCCTCGGCTTGGCGTTTGGTACAAATCTTCCGCATCATTGCGGTAAACTCCCTCCTCATCAGGGGCGCTCCTAAGATGTATATAAAGAAGTTACAAGCATGGTCGATGCCGCTGAGAAGCTTGCAGATATTTGAAACTGCGATCAGTTTTGGGCCGTTGCCATAGAGATGCGTAAGCAGCAGCATTATCAGATAAGGTAGCTCTAGAATTACGAACACAAGTCCCGTAGCCGTGAGGGTTACTGTGAGTTTCCTTTCATAATCCGTCGTTCTGTGGGAGACCTTCATAGAACTGGACGCTAACGTCGACTTGGCTCTGCTTCGAAAGAAAAACACAATGGTGACAAAGTTGAGCACGAGGACGAAAACCACAGGTGGCAATTCGAAGATGAGTCGGAAGATATTAAACAGCAAATTTCCTAAAGTGTCTTCATTTCTAGTCCAGCATATCCAAGTGTCGTCAACTCCGTGAATCTGTGTAACGAAAACAAAGTTGATGGAGACACAAGACGCCATTGTTAGGGCGAAAAAACAGACGACCGCGCGCGCCTTGGGCACCGTACATAACGACTTCGCCTTGAAAGGGAAGGTCACCATAATCATTCTCTCCAAAGACACGCAGAATATCATCCAATGCGACAAACCCGTCGAAAAATAGCCAATAAAGTTCATTGTTTTACAGTACATGTCGTAGTTATAATGCTGTGGTAGGATCCCGGACCACTCAAGGTACCAACGGAAAATGTCCAAACAGTACAGCAAATCTCCAATGGCTAGCCCGGTGAGGTAAACTGAAACGGACAAGTCTTTCACAGCAGCTCTGTTCAGAATGATCAGGTTCAAGATATTACCAACGAGGCCTATGAAAGACGTCGGTACCATTGCCACGCGCGCAAAGGCAAGCAGTTGGGCATACAGCTCCTCCGCCTCCTCTGACGTATTTGTCTGGTTAGAAAACACCGAGACGTTCAACTCCATCATTCCCACGGTTTTAACTTCCTCTCTGTTTTCTCTAAAGTGACCGAAATTCTTTGTCTTTTTTTTCTCCAA